CCCCAAAACCCCAAAACCCCAAAACCCCAAAACCCCATGAGAAGAATAAATATTGAAAGCTATAAGAGAGATACTTTCAGAGAAAGACAAAATCTTATATCATATGCATAGAGGTGTTCGAGGCATTCCCAAGACCAGAGGGACCATGTATTTGAAGGACTTGTTGGACACTTGAGAATCCCTTCTTCTTTCCTTTCTTGAATTTTCTAATATCAGCCATCTCATTTGTTTTCTATAAAAATTGTGATAAATCCCCAAGAAATCAACAAACTATTAAAATACAAATATTAGAATCAAAATTTTCAGAATTTAATGGGTTGCAAACTATCATTACCATCGAGTTGAATTGATCAACAGATATGAATTTCTCCTTGAAATCTCCAATCGAAGGAAGCATGCTGTCTCTATTAGTGCCACTTCTATCTCTAGATGGTGTATACTGAAAGCTTCTTGCTCCAGAATAGACATTAGAACCAGCCCATCTCTTCCCTCTATTATCAATAGAGCCATGCCTCTTCACTCTGGGTTTAAAACTGGTGCTTACAGGACCTTTAGCGACCCTTCTTCTCGGAGACGAAGAGGCATCATAATAAACCTGGTGCATAAGTCTCTCAACAGGGTCTTCCTTCTTACCATATTCGTCATAACTAGATGCTATCGTCTTATACTTCTCAGTGTAATGAAATCTCTTCTGGAGCTCCTTAATAGATAGAGCAGGTTTTGCTTTTCGAATATTATTCAGAATATCAACATTTGATTTCATGATTCTCTTCATCTCGCTTCTTCGTTTATCAAAATTCAATGAATTAGGCCCTTTACTTTGACAATTGAGAGGATTTGGTCTACTAACACTAAAACGAAGGGTCAGAAGGGAAGGTAGACGAGCTTACATTGAGACTAGCCGCTGGAACATCTTCTGATTCTGTTGAGAAATGTTCCGTTCTCGTTTCTTAATCTCAGACATGAGTTTGTTCTGACGAAGTTTCCTGTTTAAGTTTCATCCTTTGCTTTCAGATGTATCTATTATTGAGCTGATCTTCTTGACTTTCATTAAATTTTATTTAGGTTATATCAATTTTATTAGTTTTAACTGGGGTTTTGGGGTTTTGGGGTTTTGGGGTTTTGGGG